GAGATCACACACACGCACGCACACACACACACACACACACACACACACACACACACACACACACACACACACACACACAGAGTTCTACGTATTTCATATGCCCCTGTATCATACTTGCAAGCTCACATCGTGCAGGCAGTTCCCTACGTGCGGCGCACGTGCACAACCGATCTCGTGCGGCGCACGACGTGTGCGGGGAACGAATCATCACCCCCCTCAGGAAAAAAAAAGGCCGGGGTTGAAATGGTGCGTTTGAGGCCCCCCGCCAAAATTATAAGCGAGATGAAAAAAAAAATTACAGGAGTACTGCCTCACCTTGCTCCTCCTCGCCTTCCTCATCCTCCATGTCTCCTCCCTTCTCCTTTTCATCTCCTCCGACTCGTCCTCCTCCTCCTGCCCTTCCTCCTCCTCCTGCCCTTCCTCCTCCTCCTTGTCTCCTCCTCCTCCTCGTACTTCCTCATCTTTCATGCTTCCTCGTTTCCTTCCCTTCCTCGTGCCCTCCCCTTCCTCGCCATCCATGTCTCCTCCTCCTCACACTCGTCGTCCTCCTCCTGCCCTTCCTCTTTTCCCTCCGTCCATCTCTTCTCCTCCCCCCATCTCGACTCCTCCTCCTCGTTGTCCTCGCTATCCTTGTCGTCCTCCTCGTCCACATCCTCCTCCTCCTCTCCATATCCCCCTCTTCTCGCCATATCCCCATCTTCCTGTCATACGCCCCCCCGTTCCCCCTCCCAGAAAAAGATAAAATAATAATAATAAAAATAAAAAAACCTGCACGATTCCGCGCACGGAACTCCGCACGAATGTGTGGCTCGTGCGGTTGCAAGTATGCCCTGTATGATGAGTGCAAAGGCATCAGAGGGTCCAGGAGTACGTATGTATTTCAGTCAGTTACATTTGCATTTTTTAAAAATCTGTGGGCAGGAAACTTTTTCTGGGGTTTGTACCTCTGTGAAAGAGTGGGGGCAGGGGTGCCAGAGCGAAGCAGTGTGCAATGAACCCAGTCTGTTAGGTACTCAGAAGTCGTCAATCAACAGTAGTTTCAATATCTGTGTAATGACCCGTCATAACACAGACTGAGAACACTGCTGATTTCTGAAGTTCTGCCGATGGAATGGATGCCTTGATGAGATTCCCGCGTTCTGCTGTGTTTTCTAAGTCTGTCTGTGTGTGTGTGTGCTTGTGACCTGCATGCCTGTCTGAGTGCTTGTTGGTAYRAGTGTGTGTGGGACCCRCAAGGGCACTTGCTTGTTTGGTAGGCCCGTAGGGCCGGTACTTACCTGTGGCCGTGGCCTTGAGGGTTGTAGCAGGGRAAACACTCAAGTGGCRAAGCTAGCGGCCCTGAGGCCCTTGGGGTAGCGGAAAAACACTCAAGTAGGCCGGTAGGCCAATACTGCACCCCACTGCGGTTGACGTGAGGGGTACTGGAGGCCGAGCAGAAAAAGACAAAGTTGGCATTTTTAGAGTCCAGTAGCGGTAGGGTAGRTCTAGGCCGGTACCAGTCCAACCAGTCTGAGTCTAGAGCGTGTACGGGTAATATCAGGGTCTGCAATGATGTTTCCCTCCGAAACGGAGGAGGTACCGGTTGCTTGGAGAGGCCGAGCGGCCTGGAAGTCACCGCCCAAGAGGCAAGCAGGCCGCTATATCTAGAGGCGGGGGCAAGAGCTCCGCCTCATTCTTCAGTGTGCGAGTTGGGCGTCTTGCTGCTGGAGCGCTAGGTGGAGCGATGGGCACTACAGCGCTGCTGGGAGGAAGAAGCCGGGAGCTTCCACCTTGGCTATGGTGGAGCTCAGCCGGTAGGAGGAGGAGGGAGAAGGGGACCAAGGAGGAGAGTGGTAGGGTAC